TCACAAAATGAAGCCAATCTTGATCTAGTTTGCACACCTCTTAAAATATCACCAATGATAGTGTCCAAGGGATGATCTCTTACAACATTGGTTGGTTCAAGCACTTGCACTTGATTGCTTGTATTTGATAGATCACTTGGTTGAGACGATGAACTAGCCACTTGTTATTGATCTTGCACTTTGTCATCACTAGTTCTTGCTTGAACTTGATCATGAGAACCACTAGCTTGCACATTTGAGTTAGAGAGCACTTGATTCTTGTCATCTTCAACATCAATCACCTCTCTAGGCCTTATATCACCGATGTCCATGTTCTTCATTGTATTGACCAATTGAGTGCTTCTTACATCATCTAGATTCTCATCTTCCTCTTGGGAACCATTTGTTTCATCAAACTCCACATCATGAACCTCCCAAGAGTACCGCTAGCCAAATTCCAAACTCTATAAAGAATTAAAACACAACTAATTAACAATCTTTATTTATAATAGCATTGGTCATCATTAGAGCAAACTATATCTAAAATATATATATTGTTTAACAAAAAAGATAAGACTCAATCAAACACTATATGGGCCAAGGCCAAGGCCCAAAACGGCCTATACCACTCTTGCCTACAACAAGGCGCATCCTCTCTTATACAGGCCGCCGCCTGCTGCGCTCCCACAGTCCGCCGCCCCGTGCTCCCTTCACACCGTCACTTGCGCTGCCCCTCACCGTTTCCCACACCACACTTACCCTCTCTCCCACGCTATAACTCCGCCTGCACAGTTCAGGTGACCACATCGCCGCCTACATGCTTCGGTGCAACACCAGCGCCAGCATAACCTTCGCGTAACCAAGCCACGAGACCAGGACACCAGCGTATTTGCTTCCGGGGCCGTTAGGCGGAGCCGTCAGAAGCATCGAATCGTGGCTCCTTCTCCCCAGTGCAGAAGGCCGCCGGCTCTTTGGACACCTCCTCCGGTGAGGCCATTTCTGGCAGCGCTGTTTAGACTTTTTTACAGTCTCTGCCTCTATAGCTTCGCAGGCTCAGATTTCATATCGTAAATAATCAGAAATTAGTTCAGATAACTATTGCCCACTTCTAAAGCTATTAGTTTTTTTTACCATTGTATACAATTTTTTTGAGACAGGCAATATACCTATAAGACACCTAATATTTATTAAGGACAAATGATCCTAGAATATAAATTGTCATGCTTTGTTTTGTAGATATTTGCATACTAGGTTTGTTTTCAGTTTACTGCACTATAACTATGCCAGATCTTATTACAGGACCAAACACGAAGCCCCTGAGCACTAAAAATATTTCACCATGAATGTCGCAGGAAATTATGAAGGCATAACATTTCCACCTATTATTGCTCCGTACAGTACTACCTATTCAGATTCATTTCCATGTGACAGATTGTTTCCATATAACCATACCTCTACATGTAAATCACAGAAATAGGCAAACAATATGCTGTGATTACAAGATCCAGAACAGTACAATCAGACCAGTTTCGAAGGCTAAACATTATCAAAGAGATATCAGATAAATTCGCCCAGTATATCAGCAACCATGATATACTGTATGTTCCGCCAAATTTCATTATCTATCTGAACTATCCACATGTACAGAGAGATCTACTTTCTGAGCCCACTCTCCGCACACAGAACTTCGAATTGGATGTATTACCATGGTCCAGAGAACATGAATTGGCTCAGCTACCATGGATAATAGGTATGTCCATGACATCAAATACTTTACTACTACCAACCATAGTTGCTTAGTACACTCTGCACCATGTTCAGCCTGTATTTAATTTCTTCATTTCAATCACATTTATATATGCATATATATACAGATGGCCAGGCAAACGAGAATAAAATTATTATTGACCCACTTACAATACAGACCATGCAAGCTACCCAGGTAAGTTTTACACCAACAGTTTCAGTACACATGATCTTCATAACATTTTATCCGAACAAATTTCGTATATATAGGTACGCAAACACTTAAAGACAGCTACGCAGCCATGATAGGCATCAATTATGACCTGAGAGCACCAGATTTCAGTTACTTGATGATAACTGAATTGAAAGATTTCTACTACAACAAACATAGCCTTCTCAATAACTGCAAGAGCATAGTTGTTCAAATGGTTTCGGTACTGCAGCAGTTCAACTCAGACCTGATCATTGAAGTCCAGAATCTGTACAACAGCATCCAAAATCTCCGGAACAACAACATAGACAATGAGCTCAACAATATCTATGCTTTTGCGACTGAAATACAGACAATTGCCTCAAATGCTACCGCAAATTCAACCGGCATCTATGAACTTATCAGTCTAATCAGCCATCAATCTGAGGCATCCATCAACCTAGACACCTTCAGAGAAATCCCAACGCTGCTGAAGGTAACAAATCCACAGCCACAGCAACAGATCACATAGCAATAACACTATTACGTGGCTGCACCTATCACAGACACTAACATATGGCATATTTATGATTATTGCAGGTACCTGTTCTAGAAATATATGTCAGCCGGCTCAGGCAGATCCACGCAGTTTTTGCCAAACGAGTATATGGGGCTAAAGCTACTATTACAGCCACTGAGACACCTGAAGGTAAGTTTGAGACATTCATGACCATAGGAAAGGTAACAAGGAAATATTGTGAGGTTCCACTTCCAACTGCAGCTACTATTGAGACAATTGCCATCTACCAATCTTTGAGATACATTGCCAACGTACTTGGATACAAGATAGTCGACCTGAACTACCCAACTTTTATCAAGCCTAATGTCTGATCTGTACACACATGACCCTATTGCAGTGCTGTGTCTCCAACGCCGAAGAACACATAGAATAGTTATATGAGGGATTCCCTAGCCTGGAAGAAGATTTTGGCACCGCAGCATATGGTCTTAACAACATAGCCCATCTACGTGAGTCCATGGAACGTCTTCAGACTATGATCCAAAAATACCACACTGATATTGCTAAATTATGCGATAAATTTACTGAGGCGAAGGTACATCATGAGACCGTCTGATCTTCCCGTTCTAGGACCACTGCAATCCAACCTTTAGCCAAAAAAAATAACAAAAATAACCTATGCAGATAAAGTACTTCTCAGAGCATATTGAGACAGAATCACCGACCGCAAAACCAAAGCGTTGGATGCAGCTACTTATGCCCGACGGTACCTTTGCGCCACCACCTCGCAGATCAGACTAGCTGCAACAGCCACCAGAATTCTAAACATCCAGGTAGCACCACTTTCGCGATTCAAAATAATATGTTGCATATTTATTGGAACAAGAGAATTCAAAACAATTTTCTATATTTAGTGAATCAAAAAAATAATGCTTGTCCAACCAGGTGCTACTACTCAATAGAGCGGCTGCTGCATGATATCGCAACATACACGCGACAACGCTTCATCAACTTCGCCTACACAATGGCCCCGCAGCTATACTGAAAGCCAACAAACTTCGTTTTAGACCTCCTGTTTATATATCGCCTATGCAATTCTATAAAACAGCTATCATGTTTGACTGTGCGGCAAATAATTACTCTTACCGTATTAGTCACCGGCTAATGTACCATCTTATGTATAAGCTATGTGTATGTAAACTGTATGCATCTATTTTCCATTACACTTTGTGGGAACTCATTACATGACCATACATTCATGCAAGCTCACCATTGCACTGATTCAGCCCAACCGTCAGAGCCCCCGTAATCTCACCATTTCCAGGTCCCCAAAAATTCATTGCAAAATACCATAAACAATTCCATGCAAGCATCAAACGTTTCATAATACTGCACAAGAAAATGAATATAGAAATTAAATTCAGCCACCCTTTTTCTACCACCAAAAAAAAATGAAGACACCTCCCCTAGCACCACTCTTGACACATGCTCCGGCACTAATACTAAAAAACCAAAAATTAAAACCGAAACACAAGGTCCACTCCCACAATCACACCCTATTCGCTCGATCAGTTATGATATAGTATTTTTCTCTCACAACAAAACAGCATCAGCCGGCTTACTAAGAGCGTAAACGATCAAGCGAACAGTTGGGTATCCAGCCTTCCCCTTCCTCTCTCAGCCACAGCGGCGCTTGCCTCGCCATCTCCGACGCGGCGAGCACCCCTGGCACCGCACCCCTCAGCCGCACCTGTACGTCCAACATAGCCCTGACCAATTCGCAGTTCCTCACCGGCCCTGCTTCCGTCCGCCCCGCCCGGGACCTCTGCATCGACATGAAAGGCCCCCATACTCGATCCCTCAAACCCTAGGTTCGGCATTGGCCCTTTCACCGTTCACCTTGCTACATAGCGCTCGCTGCCTCCTGATTCCAGCTTCCTGCTTACCTCAATCTGCGTTATTTTTGTACCAGCGACATACAGCGGCATCACCGACCTACGAAAGTTGTTTGACGGGCTGCCGTGACTTACCGGACTGACACTTTCGCCTCCCCTGCTCCTGCATCACCATTCAATCACCAGCTTCGATACAGACCTCGGTAATAATCTCTCCACTCTTCCTGCCTTGGCCTCCGATATATAATATTCGTCCTCTACAAATTTCAAAGATACCTTTTTTCCGTCTCTAATTATTTCCCCACACCTTTTAATCAATTTGATCAGATTATGCGTTCAACCGTTTTGCAGTATTAATCACTTTCACCAAGTTATGCATTCAACAATTTTCCTGTATTCAAAAAAAAAAACGCAGTAACCATATAACCCGAACAATTTCGTTACAATAGCATCTCTTACCCACGCTTTACAATATATCCACAATATGTACAGCTATTAAATTGACGGCCTAAAATAACGCACGAATTAAAATGCCCTCTTTGAATTGTTGGAAATAGAAATGGATACACAGTTAAACACATAGCCTAGTTTTTCTCTGCTACTGCCTTTCCAGCTTGCTAACTTACGTGTAATATACTCATCTATCATTAATTTTTCTGTCACAGCCAGCATGGACACATACAGATATCCCAACCTAACCATCATTGAGGAAGATGAAAACACCAAGGTCAAGACGACACTGCTTCAACGCTTTATCATCGCAACATTTCCGAAACAAGTGGCAGGCACCGTTTCAATTCACGACATCCAGGCAGCCATTCAGCTCCAATATAACGCTCACGTCTACCTTCATAACATATCAGCATTTGGCTCCGACTTTCTACTGAACATATACCCACAAAATCTACATACAGCCATGCTATACATAGATATGCTCCCAATCAACCCCAGACTTATTCCCTGGAATCCAGAATATGGGTGCACTAAAGTCCCAGCACACACACAGCCCACAAGCCCATTTCGCCTCAACTACAGCACCATTTCTCACGACAGGTGGGAACCACTCAGACAGCTACTAATAGACATTCATGGCATTCCAACGCACCTATGCAGCGACACAACAGTGAGAGCACTTCTCCAGGACGCATGTAACGTCAAACAAATCTCATTTTCCACCACAGACCACGTATACACAGTCACTGCAGAAACACATAGCCTTCACATGATACCCTCAGTAGCTCATTTGGGTGTCAAAAAGTTCGAAAGAGGTCAGCCTTTCTTACATATTTGGCCCCTTTGGCTGGATCCAACTAACTTCACCTCTGAAGATGACTTCCACATGAAGATCCTACAAGACCAGGAGGATGCAAAACTAGGTATATCTAGGCTGCACAGATCCCCTTTCTTTTTTTACAAAGTATCAAGATCTATAACCCTTTTTCAAACTTCAGCCCCAGCGACATGCTCCCCGCTGACTACGGTGATCATGAAGATGACAGGCCTCCCTCTGAGTCCACAGGCCAGGATTCAGGTACACAAATCATCTATCAGTGCTCACCATGTTTATCATGCAGTACAAATACTACATATAACTCACACATCCACACGCATACACAAACTCATCCTTCAGCTCCTGACGCTCCAATCTAGGCAACAAGATACTGCCGGATGACAAGATCAGCATTAGTCTCTCAACAACAACAATCTGCTCAAATGACCTCAACCTTTCTACGTGTAATATGCGTGCTCATATGCGCACCAATATCGCAAACCCTGTTGTTGCCCAACATATGCAGCTACCAACGACCATACATTGTAATGTAACGCCTTTATTATCTCTGTTCAATGTAACATGTAATCTATAAACTCTACCAAACCTTTACCATATAATATATCCATCCCATCTACCTCCCTAAACCTGAACTTATTCTGTTACCGGCGCGCGCGAAGGCACGCGGGCTTCACTAGTCTTGTAATAAAGACAACAACTCTATTGTACGTCATGCATATAAGCTAGGTCATCATACTCGGCTTTCCATTCATGTGTCCATGTTGCGTGCAGCAAACAAGTTTGATCTTATTCATTATGATCCGTGGACATCCCCTGTTGCCAGCATCTCTAGCTACAAATACTATTTAGTCATTCTTGATGGTTGCATGCACTTTGTTTGGACGTTTCCTTTATGCCTCAGATCAGACACTTTCTCCACTCTTTCTAACTTTTTTGCCTTTGTCTCCACCCAGTTGGCGGCACGATTAAGCTGGTTCAGTGCGACAATGGCCGCGAGTTTGACAACTCTAGGCCTGCATGTTCTTCCTCACCCGTGGCGTCCACCTATAGATGTTGTGTCCCTACACCTCCGCCCAAAACGACAACCCTGAGCGTATTATTTGTTCCCTTAATAATGTTATTTGCTCTCAGCTGTTTCAGGCTTCCATCCCGCCTCATTACTGTGTCGAGGCTCTGCATCATGCCACTCACCTCCTCAATCTCCTGCCGACCAAAACACTTGACCTGTTTACGCCGCACCAAGCCCTCTTTGGCTCCACACCAGCGTATGATCTTCTCTGTGTTTTTTGTTGTGCTTGCTATCCCAAGTTCCCAACCTTTCTGCTATCGTCGGTCGTCGCCCACAAACTAGCTCTGCACTCCACATTGTGCATCTTCCTTGCTACTCTGATAACCACAAAGGGTACCAGTGTGTTGACCTCAACTCCAGCAAGGTCATCATCTCTAGGCATGTCATCTTCGATGAGCATTGCTTTCCCTTTGGGACTCAGTTAGCCCGCTAGGCCCTGGCGGACTTCTCCTTTCTGGACAACTTCACTAATGTTGTATCGGTGTCCATAGGCCGTCACGTTCTTTGCTCCCTACAGGTTCACCGCCCAGCGCAGCACCCTCACGGCTAGACGCAGTGTCCTCACAACCAGGCGCAACGGCCTCCTAGCTGGACGCTGCCCCTCCCGCATAGCCACGTGCGGCCCCGGCGTCACCTGAGTGAATCTGCGAAGGACCCAGCCTGCCTTGTAGCGCTCCAAAGATTCGTCGACCAGTAGCTTGTGCTTGAAGATCCACTTCCCGGAGACAACCATTAGCGCCAAACGAACGCGGCACTCCATAGCTACCTGCAAATTGGGATCGTCGAGGGCGCTACGCAAGGTCTTCACAACCGGTGAGAGGGGCGCGACATGGTATAAAGCAGGAATGCGATGATCGGCCTTGCCATGGGTCGTCATGGTGTGCTTGGTCACCGGAGGGACGGGGACAGCCCCGCGGATACTGGAACAGTAGGAGCCGGACTGCGCAGAGGGTTGTCTCCCGGAAGTGGATGGATAGCAGGCACAGCCGGACATGGCTGCGACGAATGGTGACGCTACAAGGCAGGCTGGGTCCTACTGCTATGCAGGGAGGGGCAGCGTCCAGCTAGGAGGATTTTGGCAAAACCTTCAGCCTGATTGTCAAGCCAGCCACACTTCCCTTGCCTGTATATGTGTAACCTCATTCCTCATAATCAATCTACTATCTCGTGCCTAATCTTACAGTCTGATACACAGAAAGCATTTAAAGGAGTGCACGGCTAGCTTTTCTGAAAAATGATAGTATACTTGAGTCTATAAATTTTTTTTATAACAATTTGAGTTCTATAAATGATGCAGTGCTACGGGCGGCAAGATTTAAGCAAAAAGGCCTTGCTAAATAATGGAATCTCCGATGTATAATGCCTGCTTGGCCCAGGAGCACCACGCTCAAGCTCAACCGCTCAAGTGAGGAAACATTCCATGGCTTCTCTTCATGGGACACTACTGTGGAAATCGGCCCAAATCGCATTCCATTCCGCGTGTAGTAGTCCAGCACAAACACGTATCTGTAATTACGGCCCTAAAATTACAGGTACACGAAGTCGCCACTTCACTTCACTCAGATACAACAGATGGACTGAATGATAAACTCCCCTATATTAACTAAAGGGCATCCCACTTTCCACCATCCTGAAAACAAAGATGAAAGAGAGTTCAGTGCAGCACTCAGCAATCTTAATCCCAAAAGTTTGTGCCATTAAAGAGTTTCAGTATAACATGCAAACGGAAAAGACGTGTTCTATTTTACAAATATTGCATGTTGTTTGGACTGACACACACCAAATGTAGTGAGGAAAGAACGTTATCTATTGTAAACATGCCTTGGTGGTAATTAGGGACAATCCTCAACTAACATGTGTCACATCTAAAACATGACTTACTTTAAACTCGATCCAGTCACGATGGATGGGTTTTGACACATGCAAATGAAACTACTACATTATAGTGTCATAAGCATATGTAATAATCCTTCAAATTACAAGGTAAATGATATCTCTGTCCCATAAAATCTGAATACACAAAATCAAATTCATCTTCATTGCCAGTACCGACCTGCCTAATCCTCCAGGAACTAGCCATGCCGATTCACAAGCTAGTTTGAATAAGAAAGGAAATAAAATACATCCCAGATAGTACTTGGTGTGTTAATCATGCCACATGCCAGTATATGGCAATGCATTGACAGTTTGACGTAACTTGCTTGTACCAGCTAAACATATAATCCAAGAGGCCAACAGGACAGCAGTGAAACCGAATTTCCAAATTCACATCTGTCCCACACATCAGCTATCCAGATCCAACCAATCTTCTATCATTACATAACAAACTTGCTCTCAAAACTACTACAAACTTGCATTGTGACTTGACTGGACAATCAAGCAGGGAAGGAAATATGACAACCTCACTCTGAGGCTGAGAATTAGATAATGTCCAGCTAGCCACCAATACAATACAAGGAAAACTGATCATCTATCATGCTTGGTCTATGAGATCCACAAAACTACAAAAGCAAGAGGTCCAAGCATTGTGCTTACAATTTTGTGAAGTTCATGAAATATTGGAAAAGCACCTGACAGTCACCCACCGACCCGTTGCCTCACGTTAGCTCCTCCCCATCGTCTCCCGACTCCGCGCCCCCCCGCGTCCCGGTCAAAGAACCAATGGAAATCACTAAGATGGCTAAAATGAAATACCAATACTTCATAGCTGAATAAATTCAGAACTACACCATTTCAGGAATGTCAGATATAACCCATGGTTAACTAAATCCAAGCATCACCATTGCAGTTTATCACTTTCATTTTTTGTAATAGGCATTTGTTGTTTATCAGTTCTAGTTTTGGATATCCTCTTATATTTCTACTTTACAAAAATACATCTGTTCCTCTTAGAACTGTAGTATTGCACATCGACGACCTTTCGGTATTTCGGCATTAGTTCAACCCATAATCATATTTAGAACTGTAAAGTGGCATTTCACCTGTCAGAAGGGTAGAACTCTGTTGAACTGAATCCCTGGTGCTCAGAACGAGTTCATTTCAAGGCAATATGCCCTTCTCTTGAGAAGCACCTTTGCAGCAGTTCGATATGGCTCCTCAAAGGCCTCTGAAATCCAGCATGTACCAACAGGACCTGCAGCACCAACCCCTTGACCCTCCCTCAAGGCATCCTCGCTTGGTCTGATCGCCACCAGTGTCGCGCCCTTGAGCAGCGTTCCCCCAGGCAGCTCAATGAGTGGTGCATAGTGCAGACGCATACTGAGTGCCGGCATGAGTGTGCGGTGCGAGCTCCCTGACGGAGAGACGGGCCGCTTCCGCAGTTCCTGCAGCTGCCTCCTGTCCATGGTGAGCACCCCTTGCCCGTCGGCATCTGTCAGGTCCAAGCTCTCCAGCGTTTCGTGATTACAGATAATCGGGTGCAGCAAGTAATGCCTCGCCGACGCAGCAATCAGGGAGCTGATGGCCCAGACAACGCGAAGCTTGAGCCCTCCATTTGTGTAGAGAGAATCAGGCAGGCTCCCCGGCTCTTCAGTCTCCCTACTGGTATCGGGAGCGGTGGCCGCGCTGTCGGCCGCAGCAGTTTCCGCCTGGGTGGACCCTGTGGGCGGCTTGGACGAGACCGACGAGGCGCCGAGGATGACGCAGCTGCCGAGGGTGGAGCCGAAGTCGGCCTTCCACTTAAGGAGCACGCCGTCGTCAATGCCGAGCTCGCCCGTGGGCAGCTCGATGTGGAGGCGCCGCAGCTCCTTGAAGGAGTGGAGCACCTCGGAGGGTGAGTGGTGGGAGACGTCCGCGACGGGCGCGGGCGGGGAAGCGGGCAGTGGCGGCTCGGAGCGCCGGGAGACGGCTGCTGCGGCGGGGGAGAGGATCTGGCCGAGCGCGTGGATGGGCCTGGCGATGCCGCCGAGCAGGACGCGCGCGATGTGCGCGAGCGCTCCGCGCCCGCGCGCGGCCGGGGCCGGCGCCTGGTGCGGCGGGGAGCCCGGTGCGGCCCCGGCGGAGGAGGAGGAAGAGGAGGAGGGCGGCTGGTCGTCATGGATGACGCAGTCGACGCGGACGAAGACGGAGTCGACGAGCGGTACGAGCGCGTGGAAGCGGCGCGAGACGAGGGCGCAGCGGCCGAGCGCCTTGACGTCGCCGATGCGGTTGAGGACGTCGAGCAGCACCACGTCGTGGAGCCGCTCGAACTGGTCCGCGGCCTCGAACCCGCCGCACGGGCACCCCACCTCCTCCTCCAGCTGCTGCTTCTGCTGCCGCCGCGGCGCCGCCTCCATCCCCGCAGGCTGCAGGCACACAGATTGGGATGGGGGAGAGGCGTCGGCGCGGGGCGGCTTGTGGCGAGAGCCGGTCGGCCTCGGGGCTACCTTCTTGGTGGACTTGATTGGATTCCCCTACAGTGGATCGCTCGCTGCGCTGGTAGGAGTAGTCCGTAGTCGGCACGCACCGCACGGCACAAGCTCACGGGTCACGGCTGCTGCGACTGCGACTCCAGCGAGTGTGAGAGGGGGTCACGGGGAACGGGGATCGGCGGCAGGCTCGTGTCTTGTGTGTGCGGGCGAGGAAGAGGTGTCAGCCGCGGACTGGGGAGTTAAGCTGGTGCCGTAGTGGGGGGACGTGGGGGTCCGGGTCAGGGTCAGGGTCACGGCGGTGTCCCAGCGTGGTGGTGTGGTGTGGTTTCTGGTGTGGCGCAGGCTGCTGCGCTGGGACTGGGGTCATTGGGACGTTGCGACTGCGAGCGACCGGCACAGGCATCCAAGCAACGGCCAACGGGGACGTCTCAGCGCGCTCTGCGGATTCCACTGGAAAGATCCTGCTGCCGGCATGTGGCTGAAACCCTGAACCTGAAAGAGGCCGTCGCTCTCCGCGGCGAAATTCCGACTGCAACCAACGCGAGCCACCGGAATACCCGATGGGATAGGATACGTTGGATTGGGTGGCAGCTGACCTGGGCTTGAGCTGAAACATCGCGTTCGCGTTCGCGTTCGCGTTCGCATCCGCATCCGCATCCGCATCGCTGTGGGTGGCGTGGGAGCGAGGGAAACCTCGGTCTTGTTTAGATTGCAAATTTTTGCAATCCGGACACTGTAGCACGTTTCGTTTGTATTTGATAAACTTTGTTCAATTATGGACTAACTAGGCTCAAAAGATTCGTCTCGTGATTTATAATTAAACTGTGTAATTAGTTATTTTTTTATCTATATTTAATACTCCATACATACGTTTAAAAATTGATGTGATGGAAAAAAAAGTGAAAAAACTTGGAATTTTGAAGAAATCTATACAAGGCCCTGACAGAGATTGGTCGCTCTCACCCAGGGTCAGGGCAGTGCGCGCGCGCCTCGCGCTGTGCGGGCCTGTGCCCGTGCGTGCCGATGATAGCGGCGGGAGGCACCTGTCCCCCCGCACGAGCCGTCCGATCCTCGTTCCTCAACGCCGACGGGTCGGACGGACCTCAGGTGCTTTGACTTTGCAGGACACTAGTGGGAGTGAGGGATCTTAGGAAAGAGCTGATTAAACAAATCTAGTTTGTTGTCAGAGCACCAACTGGTTGGATGAGATGAGATGAGCGAGCAGAACAGATCGCAGATGAGATGCAAGCCCAAGGTTTTGTTTAGATCACCTCTAAATTTCAAGTTTTTTCATTCTCTCTATCACATTAATTTTTGAACACATGTATGGAGTATTAAATGTAGAAAAAAAATAACTAATTACATAGTTTGGTTATAAATCACGAGATGGATCTTTTGAACCTAGTTAATCCATGATCGGACAAAATTTATCAAATACAAACGAAACATGCTACAGTATCCAAGTTGCAAAAATTTACAATCTAAACAAGACCCAAATAAGAGTATTCAACTCTGCTCAAGTGTCAGCACTCAGCACTAGGCAGTAGGCACAAGGAATCTGGCGCGGATTAGGTGGTGTTTGGTTGTGGCTTCTAAATTTTAGTCGTTGAATGTTTGATATAAAATAGAGTATTAAATATAGACTAATTATGAAACTAATTGCATAGTTTACGACTAATTTACGAGACGAATCTTTTAAGCCTAATTAGGCTATGATTTGACAATGTGGTGCTACAGTAAATATATGCTAATGATGGATTAATTATGCTTAAAAAATTCGTCTCGTAAAGTACTGACGGATTATGTAATTTGTTTTTTATTAGTATCCAAATACCCCATACAACATTGTTCCAACACATCTCCTAACACCGCCTTAAACTAGTTCGCCGCCTGCAAAACCGACGCAGCAGCGCAGCCCAGAACGAAACGACGTGGAAGGAAGAACTTCACGACCTGCACGAGGGCCTGCAAGCTGGGAACTGCTCCGTGCTCCGCGTGTGCAAGGGACGCGAGGGGACAGACGACCGAGGCAAGGACAAGACAAACAGGGCGTCATTTGGCGAGGGGTGTGGAGATGGGGAATTGGGATTGTGGAAATGATTGGTTTACGCTTTCCAGGGAGTGTCATCATCGACGCAAACTTCGGTCTCAAGCGACTGCTCAAGGGCAAAAGTGGCCTCCTTTTCCGCAGGTAATCTAGTGCACCGCCATGAGCCATGATCATGCCTCGCTCGAATGCGTCCTGGTTGATTGCATAACCTTCCTTGCGTTCCCGCTGTCTGATGCAATCATCGGCGATCCGTTCCAAATTATAGTTCCTTTGTAGCAAGCAACCCACACCACGCAAGGGGATTTCCGCACTTATCCTTCCTCGCAGTTCCTAGATTCTTAGTTGGGCCAACATGTTTGGCGTCCGGACACGTTTTAGGCCTTGCTCGCTCTAAAGAAACTATTGGGCCTTCTTTACTCTCACACCGACGAGCCAACCCAGTTGAGTCACCTGGATCTAGATCCAATGTAACAGAATTACCAGCACATAAGAGGCGCGCCAGGCGTTCTTCAAAACCATGGTAAACTCGGAATCCCCTTTCTTCTCGTACATACTGCTCACGAATTTGGTGGGCTTGAGACAACTTCGTTTGGTTCCTTGTGTTGATCTATGCTAGCCAGAGGAGACGAGGAGCCAGATCAACGAGTGGATCACGAGCGCGACGGCCGGCCAGATCAAGGACCTTCTTCCCATGGGCTACCTCCACCATGGGACGCCGGCGATGCTCGCCAACGCACTCTACTTCAAGGGCGTGTGGGAGCGCAACTTTGACGCCTACCTGACGCGGGACGAAACCCTTTTCCTGCACGACGGTTGCGTCGTCCGCATGCCGTTCATGTCGAGCACCAGCAAGCAGTGCATCACCTACCGACCCGGCTACAAGGTCGTGAGGCTTCGCTATGGGCACCAAGGCCGTGGCGAGCACCGGGTGTTCTCGATGTACATCTACCTTCCGGACGCCCACGACGGACTACCGACGCTGCTGCACAAGCTGAGCGCTGACCTGGCGCTGCTCGAGAGCTCCAGAACTCTAACGGACGAGGTCCCCATGCGCGCGTTCAAGGTTCCCAGGTTCACCGTCGCGTACAAGACGAACACGAGGGAGATGCTGCTGAACCTCGGACTGCTCCTACCCTTCGATGGCGACATAGTGGAGGTGGGGGCGCCGGAGCCGCTCGTCGTGTTTGATGTCTACCATGAGTCCTTCGTGGAGGTGAACGAGGAAGGGACCGAGGCAGCCTCCGCGATCGCTGTCGCTATGCGCTTCGGGTGCGCGCACCTGGAGGCGCCGGTGGGCTTCGTCGCCGACCACCCATTCATGTTCTTGATCAAGGAGGAACTCAGCGGCGTGGTGGTTTTTGCTGGACAAGCGATCGACCCATCGATTCCTCAGTAATTTTAGATGAGTGATACTTCTTTGAGTAAATATAATAACGATATGAAAGCGGTTAGTACTTATTGTTGGAATGATCTCGGCTTAGTTGAAGACTGACTGAGTCATTAGAGACTAATAGTCCATTAATAGTGCCCTGATCGGGGCCCACGCCCTAATAACCGACTAATGGGCCTGGTCCCAGGCCACACCGATCTATATAAGATGGAGGCATCTCTGTGGTTAGTGATGATGGGAATTAGTCCTAATTAACCTAAGACCTACTGATCAAGGTGAGCTTGGGAGTGGTCCTAAAGACCCGTATCCAGCTGCCAGCCACCCTGTGCCGGTGTCTCTCTCGTCCTCATCATCGACGCCCACTGGAGAAGGAGATCTACGTCATGCCTGCTACTCGAGCAGGCACGTGGACTTCAACGGCTCTAATGAGCACATCCGATTCAATTAAGTCTAATTAATTACTAAGTGTGGATTAGGTGTTCATCGGATTAGGCTAATTAAGATCCTGTGAATCATAAGTTCTAACATTTGGTATCAAGAGACGGTTTAGCCTAAACGATGAACCTTAATCTTAGACCTAAGTTTTAATTAAACCGATTGATTAAGTTTAAGATCGAAGTGCCACCCTTCGGTCGTTTCAAGCTAGGGTTTCGGATAAGCAATAAGGAGGGGATTCAAATCAAATTAGTTCATAGAACCCTAATTAAAGTTCCTCAGATCCCTCAGATCCCCTCAAATCTTGAAACCCAAGAACTGGATTCACCAAAGTTAAATCTCCAGTTGCAAATTCCTAACCTTAAGATCACTGGAAGGGCCACCATGCTTACCTAAGGCGCCGCCGCCGGGTCTCCTGCGTGGGCTCGCCCCGACAAAGTAAGGGTCGCGCGTCGCCTGGTTCTTCTCCTGTGCGTGCGTGCGTGCCGGCTAAGGGTGTCGACCGAGGGGCCGCTCGACGGTGCCCCGGCGGCGCCACCTCTTCTCCGCTTCTTCTTCTCCAGCGTTGGTCCGCCCGACGGCTGACTGCTATCGCATCCAGTTTTCCAAAGAATACCAAGCGCTAACTATATGTGTGCCCAGGATGTCCACACGACACATATAGCGACAAATATGAAGAATATCAAGGACAATGCTTTATTATATATCGAAACATAGTTACATCAAGACTTACATCTATTACAAAGCATAGCGAAAACTATTCTATATCTTCTATTCGGGACTCCATACTCCACATGGACAGTTGACTGGGGGAGCAGTCGCCTAGTACTCTTGGAACTCCTTTGGTAAACTCGTCACTTGAACCACCATCTGGTACCCATCCGAATTTTTTATCGATTGTAAAGCAAGTGTGAGCACACCATAATCAACAAGTATAACATGAGGGGATGCAAGGCTCAAAAGGCTAGACACGGCTGAACTGCGGTAAGCATTTTTAGTTGGTCATATTTTATTTATTAAACCTATGTTGCTAGGTTATGCTTAAGCTCCCAAGGTGAAAGTATAACTAACATCAAGATTAATCATCACCCAAACCATCCATGGAACCATCTATCTCGAAAAGGATCCAAGTCACTCGTGACCGAGAGCACGGCTAATATATCAGTTTATATAACTCTGCAGAGTGTGTACATCTTTACCCACAAGTCATGATTACCCTTTGCCCGAGGTGATCAGCCTCTTGACTCACTTCCAAGGTAAGTTGGCAAGGATCACTACGAAGCTTTTCCCTAGTCGTTCTAATAAGTAGCAGCCGCTAAGGTTTCGGATTGACCAAGCGATATAGATGCTCTCCTTTGAAGGTGGCACACTTATGACCGCAGCCTAGCACACACCGCGGCAGGACAAGAGCTATACTCGAGCTGGCACCCCCCTCTTGCCCTTTCGGTAAGCTGCTGATGAGCTAGAACAGATCAGGATACTGAGCTAAGACCAGAGCCATGTAGTACTCGTGGTTGTACTGTAAGTCCTAGGTGGCTGCTTTAAGATTAAGTCCTTACGGAGGGTAAACTAGAGCATGCAAAAAGGCCCAATGCTCTAGCCCCCTTCTATCCATGTTGCTAAAAAGCTCATTTTAATCTATAGTTGCATATATCATTAATCAATATTATAGATCATTATAGTTGGTGATAGCAAACTAAGCTAGTCTACCCATATGCAAAACCCATAGGTAACAAGGATATAAGATATCAAAAGTATACTAGGTAAGGTCTTTAATGTTTCATCATATTAGACACATGCACATGAATGGTGAATATATGGTTATTAGGTAACAAGGGTACTCATGTTACACTTGTCTTCCAAAAGCGTGCCATCCAACTTTCCAACTCTTCTGGATCATTCTTGCTTAGCTCCACTTCTAACGATAGCATCATCTAGTACAAGCATGTTAAGCAAACCTAGAAACAGTACACCAAGCATCATAAATCAAGATGCATGTTAAACAAACCTAGAAACAGTACACCAAGCATTATAAATCAAGATATAAAGGTTTTAAAACACGTAGGCTTGCAACTACGAACGTATGAGCGCAAAGACTACTAGAAACGAAGCTATGGTTTAAAAGTCATGAAAGTTCAAAGGTAGAAGTTGGAAAGTTTGATAAATGATAGGAATAGAATAGACATGATGTATGTGGGCTAACTTGAAAGATTTAGAGAGCATGTGGATTTATAGATGAAGGGTAAATGATCGAAGAATTTGTATACAAGATGGACTAGACATTATGAGAATGAATTAAGCATACGAAGATTTAAGAGCTAGATCACACGAGATGACTATGAAAGCTTGATTAGAGAGAACATATAGATGGCAATAACTATGCAAGAGTGAGATGGTACGGTGAGATACTATCAAGAATATTTGTCTTTGGTCAAAGAACATGAAACAAGGACAATGGTGGTGGTTGGCATAGTTGAAATTTACCAATAGTGAGGCAACCATATATTGATACGAGGCGAAAAGTGAAGCTGAACATTTAAATCATGTTTTGCAAACTCATATTAAGATTATCTTTTCGATTTGTGAAGGGACACTTGGGAACATATATGAACAACTGATGCGCTGAGGCGGATGCTAGATCAATGAGGGACACAGTTACAACAATGTGTACACCGGCTGGACATGCCCGTGCAGCGGGTAGCGGTGGCTGTGGCCATCAGAAGGAAGGGTCACACTGAACTTATGGTAAGGATATCTTGTGGGATTGTGTAAAACTACCCTATGAATGTTCAAGCCAAAGGGCTCATCAATTCGATGTCCGATTTAGAGGAGAATGCAACGAAACATTGGTGCATCCAGAACATGCACATGAGCGCGCAACGGAGTTTACGATCACAAGGATCATGGTCAAAGCAGAACCAATTGGCAATCTATTTTGTGGGGATGTTGAGCATTGTATGGAGTATGTGTTGGCAAAAGGGCATGCCATTTTGAGTGTTGGTTAGCTAGGGAACGTGATTGCAAAACAGGGTGGCATGGCTGTTTGGACAGCGAGGGAAACGAATGTTGCGGCCTCAATATCTTGGCCATCATGGCATGAATGACCGAACCAATTTTCAGAGGCATACTCAAGGATATGAAAAATATTCGGGTCAAAGGGACTGACCACTGGAGTAGCGAAACAGCGGGAACACGTATGCCAACCTACAACAGTGTGGTTGCGAGGCATAGGGCAGCAAGCGCGACTTTGGCATCATGGCTCCTATGACCAAACTGATTTGCAGAGGTATGTGCAACTTCAAGAAATACATCATGATCAAAGGGTTTGATTACCAGAGGGCTAGATCACTGGGAACGCGAACGCTAACCGGCAGCAGCGCCGCTGTGATACAACAGGGGCAGCAAGAACAAAAGTGATGATATCTCTCTCGACTTGGTCTTGCTGGCAATGAATTTTTGCGGAGACATGTGCAAGTACATGAGGAATTTTCTAGTCAAAGGATTTATCACAAAACTGAATGGATCAGTGGGGAGCGCCATTGCCATCAGCTGTAGCACAGCTGGACGAGGGGACAACAACACGTATCGTGGGCAAACCTCACCGGAACTCGATGGATCTCAAAGTATAGGCTATGAATTGCTACGTGATAAGGTAAAACAGATATGTGAGAGGCAAAGGGGGTCTCACTTTGGGTTTAGTGGCAGCCGATGCACGATCAACAACAGCTAGTGGCGACGACGGGCGGCGGATGTGGCAGTGCTGCAGGCTTGAGGATACAGCAAGGCATGCTAGGGAAACATCCTCATGGTGATGTGGTGCTGCATCAGTGCACGAGTTGATGCTTGACGGGGATGATACCGTTGCGAAGATTGCCGGTGCCACAATTCATATACTCCGCGTCCACAAAAAGAGGGGCAGCGAGGGATCGATTTGGGGACGTCCTGTGGTACATGAGGAGATCAATAGAGGTATGAGGATCAGGAGATGGAACACACAGTGAGAGAGGGAAGGGAGGGTCGGCTTACTGCAGCAGAGGAGATCATCAGCCTTCATCCAAATTGTGCTCCGTTGTTCTTGATGGAGATTGCAGCGGCAAAACAGAATCATAGCTGCAGGAGCCCTCCGTTTTGGTTGAGTAAGTGGAGAGGGATGATGGGAAGAAGTAGTGGGCAGCCATGGGTAGAGCCTCATTGTTCTTCACGTGCAACAGAGAGGGGGCTGAACCATGGATGGGATCATGGGAGAGGAGGATAGCAAAGATGCAAAATGAACTATGGAGCAAAGGGGTTCCACTTTATAGGTGAGGGAGTAGAAAGATGAAGGCACAACCTTCTGCTTGTGCGTGAGGGAAGGAGAATTGGCCGGCTATTTTTCTGCATGGATGCATGCAATTGAAAGAGAAACTGATGGGGTAAAGGAGTGCTGTCAAGAGAGGAATAAATAGAGGTGTGACCATGGGAATTAAGGGGGAAAGAATCATATGCTTCTTCTGTTTTTGCATGAGAGGAGAATGGGAGGCCGGCATTGAGGAGGAGGGAGAGGAGGATGCGGCATAGGAGAATAGAGGGGC